CAGTGTGACGACAAAAATTTGAAGGGGAAGGGGTGTTTGGACGAGCTCTCCAAATGTGTGCGCCACTACGACTAGCTGACTACAGTAAACTGTCTGCGTACAACGTGTGCTCTCGGTGCGAATGGTGCAACCTTCGCAGCCTTGACAACGCCGTGAGAACTCGTCCGTCATAGATGTGTACGTCGGCTGAGCTTCGAGCACTTTTTACGTCCACCCGGCTGTTTTCCAACCCGACAGCACTCCTTATCCTTGAGGGTCACTGGTTTATCCTAGGGAAAAATCTTCCAAACAGATTTCGTCGTAAACTGTGCCTTCGAGTGGGAGGGACGAGGGAGCTGGTGAAAATGTCTACTATTAGAAGTTAGAGTTCTATAGACTTCATGGTATTACAAAGCAAGGCAGAACGTGATACGACTTCCAGCTCAGAAAAAAATTCTAGCGTAGCCCCCAATGATGGAGATCCACGCCAGCTCGCCGGCTCGGCGGCGAACTATGAAAGCAGACAGTGGATTCATGAAACTACCACCACCATTAATCGTTTTGATGTTCTTGCTTATCTCATACCAACAGTAACTCTTTATCACAAATTTGAGATAACCCGACAAGTAAAAATAGTAAGCAAAAAAGGTAGTACCTCCAATAAGGTATTCGGTGCCGTTTATGAGTTGGACCCCGCAAGCAGCTGTCGTCGAAGCGGTGACGATTTCTGTTGGTAGCTGCTTCGATTCGGTCTCATTCTGAAAGTAAGTTGTTTATCTACTATTCAACATCTCTCATTGTCAGTCAACTACTATGGTAGTTTGGTGGGGCCCCTATTCATACAAGAAGTAACATACCCTAAAAGTTTCGAGATACCGAACATTGTATCGAATTGTCCGAGAATCGGTGTCTTCGATACTTCCTGTCACCCTCACATGTGCCACTGAAAATCATATAATAAATAATAGCAACTAAGATCCGGAAAAGTATTCGTTTCATAACTGGAATTGGAATGATGCATACTCACCAAAGCTTGAGTAGCAAAACGCGTCCCTCAATGCTGGAAATGGAAAGCAGGTACAGGCTTCCGATGCGGTCAGACACGCTGCGATAGCAAACAGGACTCGCATCATTTCCGAATGGCACAACAAGTGGTGAATGAACTCTTAATAGGAAATAGAGATTTCTAGTGAAACCGAGATATGAACAATAGCCTCAGCGAAGTTCCTATTTTTCAAGTCAGAATGATTACAAACTAGGAAGGAAAGGCATCTGCTGCTCCACTGTATGCTAAAAAAATAGCCGCAAAATCTGATGCTTCCAAAGAATGCTGTGTGTAGTGCTCCCTAAACATTCTTCTGCTAGAAACAAAAGAACATCTTCTTCCTGCTAAGTAAACAACGGTTCTCTGGCTTTCCCTATATTACGTAGATGAGCAGTAAACAGGTGAACTGCTGACGGCACAAAGTAATCCTCTCGAATGGCCGGTTCGGCAGCGCTAAGCCATATAAGGAGTAATTATCAGGGTTAGTAAGCATTATCCATACGCGGTTTATTGAGCAGATGAGAAAACCAAGACGTAAGGGAATGAGAATGCTCGAAGTTGATCTGAAGACTCGGTTCTTCTCATGAAGATGAGTCATTTCTCTCAGAAAACTTCTTTTTGAACGCTTTGTGGTTTTCCGAGATTCGACCAGAGCATGAAAAAAGGGTAGTCAAGATGATCGTCACTCCTCCAGGCCTACATCCCAATAACGTATGATGAAGATGATGAAGCACGGGGACAGAAAACTCAATATTGGGTCTCGTATCAAAGTGGGCACGTGACAGTTGCTCTATACATTAAATACCCAAGATTGTTTTCGTATTTGTTTATAGCAGTACGAGTTATCGTAATCTACTTTTTTGAATACATGAATAAAGATGATTTCCCGATTGTTGATGTATTCGCAATACTCTATAGCAAACGGCGTTGAAAGTATCAAAAGGCATATGTACGTTTACCCATGCGTTGTCTCTTTAGTTCTTGAGCTACCACTTTTCCTTAGGGAACCTAAAACCAGCAACAGCCCTCTATTTTTGCAAGTTGAAGTACTCGTTCCTTCTATTTTTCTCCAGCGTTTGTCCTGCTTAGAAGCCGTGACGATTTCCGTGGTGTACCGGACCAACGTTCTTGTGAGTGTTTTGTCGGGATGAATGTCAAGTAATTCCAAGATATCATGCAATGTATCGAGAAAGCGCTGCTCTGAACGGCGCTTAAACCATTATCCAATTGCGTCGGGACTGAAGCCACTCTTACAAACACTGTCTTTGTCCGCGCTAAGACGTAGCCCTACCATCTGAACTTTGCGCATTTTATCAGCAGTCTTGACTACTCGGAAACGCTCCCTTAGCGCATCGTTGCGAATATGGTCCAAGCGCGTGAGCGAAGTCGTAAATGCAGCATATTCCTTTTCATTACTCCAAGACTCGCTTCATTTTTTTGCATATGAAATTGACCGTGGCGTTGGCTTTTAAAGGTCTCGTATAGCATCCACGACAACGAATAGTCGTGTGAAAAACGAAAAGTCTTGGTGTATTCCGGCGGAGATGGCAAATATTGAAGAGGTATCTGCTGCTACTTGTACTCTACTCATTGGATTTGGGCAGAGTATGTTCACCCACTCAATAAATTCTGCAGGAACCCCATGCTGTTGCAAGGATTACCATATGACGATCAAGGACCTCCTCTAGGTCTAAAAAAGCGACTACTACTTTCCATTTCTCACGACGTTTTTCTCGTGAGAGACGAGGGGCAGGTCTTGTTCCATTGGTGCAACAATCGGTAACAAAGCCACACTAATTGATGGATAGCTGGATTTGTTCTCAAACCGTCTACGATCCGTTCAAAGATCTTCATACTGTGCGAGAGCAGGCGACTTTGGCGATAGATCATGCAGTCTGCAGGGCAACCATTCTTCTTCAACATCGTAGCGGTGGTACTATACTGTCAAGTCACAAGCACCTTCATTTCTGCGACGACCTGATTGAAGAACCTCGCCAATCATGCTGGAGAATTTCCGCAACGTGATTCTTACTGCTAATTCGTCAGAACCAGCTGCCTAACCAGTCGTCATCTTTTTGAGAGCTATTTCCGTTTCCTCTGAAGTTATCTTCTGCACAGAACTGTGCTGTGGCAGGGCGCGAGGTAAAGTCGGATGAACAAACTTTTCTATTGAGATTTTGCCAAAGCAGTAATTCTACCGTTTTACTGTCCCCTTGCGATCTATCAGAAGGTGACCGTTTTCGTCTCTGCTGCTGGAAAATTCTTCTATATCTTTGGTTTGGTGATAACGGGCTTTACCAAGACGATGAACATATATAGACCGCCTCCACATGCATTTCCAGTTGCTTCCTGATATCAGCATAATGAGCGCCTCTTGTATTGACCATGACCTTCTTTGCCGCCTTCCTTGCTTCACATACATAGTTCTGCCCGATACCAGTGGTCTTGTCGAAAAGAAACACATCTTCTTCTCGAGTACCTTTATGATGCTGCACTTCCCAGCCACAATTGTCTATCTATTTTCTGCCGTACACCTCTGCCTCACCTGGCTCGGAGCAAGCAGCCAAGATTATTGCTACAGCAATACCTTTCCACGTCTCCTCGACGGTCGTTACAGATGGCAGCTGGATTCGAGTGATCACACTTGCCTCCTTTCCCTTCAAACACCACCAGTTGACCCTTGCCCGTCCGCTTCTTTCAACTTTTCTCTTTTTCGGTAGGGGGCGACTTTGATCGTGCAAATCAGCTACCGATGTCGCATACAAACGGTGATGAGATGTTATCACCATTTACATGGTATGGTCAAGTGAACGCGAAGCGAATTCAAGAATTCGCCTACCATTGGTGTTAAATGACCCATATGCAAACCCATCATGGCAACTGACTGCAACCACTTTTCGTAGTGGAAATGTGCCCATATGATTCACCTGCAGTAACTGCAGCTTCATGTGTTGGGACTTCCGTTATTTTGTTGTTGAACGAGGTCCAGAACTCATCCTTTATTAGCTCCAAGCATTCAGTATGTGGAGCATAGGCAAAGAACATGTGGTAAGATCGACGTGCAAGAACGAAGCGTTTGAGCCAACTATCGAGCCTGAAACCCTTCGAAAACAGCGACTTCGACACCTTTACCGTTCCTGGAACCGCTACAAAGAATAGCTCTGAAGCTGCCGTCAATGCTTCTCGGCTTGCTGCACGACTATCTCGTCCCTTGCACGACACAAAAACTTATTCATCTATTCACCGGCGCATGTAGTAGCTCGCAGAAGCGACCGTTTCACAGCATGCACTATCGATTCATAGCGCAGGAACGGAGCAACACGTTTCCTCGATAAGGAAAGCGCTCGTCATTTTTTCACAAATATTCCCCCTAATTCCGATCACTTCATGAAACATGACGTCTGATCAATTATCAGCTGGAGGAATGGCCATCATGCTCTCCAAATGTCAAAACGTTTGGCTCCTTCTTATAGTGCCTGACAAAAAGTAGAAAAGGACCTGTCGCTTACTAATTACAGATTGGAGTCCTTGACGGAGGTCTTGATCACGGCTGGGAAGAAATGGAGGAAAGGGAATTGCGTGCAACATAAGAGAAAAGACACTGGTGCTTGTTTGCTGCTAATGGGGTATACTCGTGAGGGTGATTGTAGCTTGTTGTTGCACATAATGTAAGCAAATGCTTATACAAATTTCAATGCCGTCCTAAGCTTCGAAACTTGAAATACATCACAGTGCACAGGTGCCCATATTGAAGGGGAAGATGACCACGACCCGCACCTACTAGAGTGCCCAAAACTCCAACAAAGGGCACGCCAGCCGGATCTTTACTTTTTGACAGCACAACCTTCCGCAATTCACTGCAATTCAGA